TAGGGTTTTTTTTTTCTCCTATTGTTGTTGATAATTGTTTAATGCAGGGTTTTTTTTTTTTTTTGTCTATCTCAATTAAAAGGACTTCAAATACTTAATATTATAGTTTTAAGTTAGCTGACGGGGAATCTTGTGTTCTTAATTAACTAGTTCTAATGCTTGATTTAGTTCTAAATCTATTTATATAATTTCAAATTTGTATTATAAAATTGCACAAGTATCAATTTAATTAAATTCATTTTATACAAATAGTAATTTAATTAAAAAAGCAAGCCAACAATTAAAATATCTTTTTTATTTTATTTTTAGTTTATAGAATTAAAATTACAAACTTATTGATTAAAAAAAAGCCTACTATTAAATAAGTTTTAATAACATGATTAACTTTGTCAAACTCTTCAGATCAATAATATTAAAAAAATATTTTTCTCATATTTTTGAATTAAAGTAATTAATTCATGTTAAATGGGTAATTAACGAGTTGATTCGATAATTTAATATTCTAGGCAGGCACTTTCCCGAATCATCTCCAGGACAGATACGACAACGAAGAACAAAACGAGACCAAACACTAAAAAGGCGCTTAAACAGTTTCCTTTAAAGCTGGAAAGCACAGTACAAACCTTTGCTTTCTCTGAAACAAAAGCGAACAAGCACCAAAAAAACCCTCTTTTCCCTGTTTAGCTATCGATACAGATCTCCAAATTCCACGCAATTTTAGAGAAAAGGGAAAGCAAAACAACTTTCTTAATTGTCAAAAAGCTAGGGTTTAAGTGTGTTTTTCTTTTTCTTTTTTTTTTCTTTTTTTTACGTGTGGATAGAATTATGGATCGTCTCCGCCGAAGACAGAGACCGGTGTTCTCTGGGTTCATAACGGCTGAGGTATGATTTGCTTTCTTGTTCTCTATTAATGTTTATTTTATATGGAGCATTCATATTTTTTCCAGTTATGTACATTTTGTGTTGACTGTGGCTTATTTCTGGTTAGTTTCTTAAAAAATTATTGGGATGTTTTTTATTTTAGTATCTTATCCAGAAATGTTGTCTTTTAGGATTAATGTGGTTAGCTATATTGATTTGTGTTTAAAATACAATAACTTTCCTCTCATCTAGGTGCTTAGAGAATTTGAAAGTTTAGCCATGGAGTTAAGTTGATTTGGGGCAATTGCTGATGATGGGGTGGGTAGATTTCTGGTTATTCTTATGTGAAAAGGGTCTTGGTTGACAGCAAACTCAGGGTTGTTATTTGCTAAATGGTAATGGTTCATGAATACGAATTATTTACTCATAATCTCAGTTAAATTCTTTGAGTTCTTGTTTTTTGTGAATGGCGAATCTAGATTGATGTGATGTCTATGTAATTGTGTATCCAAGTCAATGCTTGGCCTTGTAGCATTTTAGATGTTGTTGGGTAAAGAATAATGCACATATGTATTGTTTTGGCTACAAGCAAAATTGTATACTTTTGCCTGTGGGGTGCTGTGACTGATGATCCAATATGGCGATGCTTTACTGTCTCCTTTGTTTTTTCTACTGTGTTGTGCAAATGGCATGATAAAGGTTTTATTTTTATCCTCATCCATGAAAACAGATAGAGAAGATGGAGAGATTGCTAAAGGAATCAGACCAACAACTGGACAAGGAGTTCTTTCAGAAAGTTGCCAGGAGATTTAGGCAAGTCTTGTCCCATGCATATCTTCTAGTTATAGATTTTGACACCTGATGTTGTTTCATGTAAAATATCTACATTAGGTGCTAACTCCTCTTGGTTTTGATTTGGTATGTCCTTGCAGCTCCTCTGCTGCCCGGGCTGGGAAACCTGTTGTTAAATGGACTGAGGTTTTACTCTCTTGATTACTCCTTTTTTTTCCTTCTGTATACCGTTTCCATTGTTGTTATAACCCTTTTATTCTGCAATGAAAGCTCTAGCATTATGTTTGTGCTTATTTCGTAGCTTCCCCTATGTTACAATTGTGTCTTAGGTACAAAGTTGGTTCAGAACTAGGCAGCAGGATTGCCTGTCCAAAGTTGCATCTTCAACTGATGCTTCAAATCATGATTCTCCACTCCCAAAGTCTAATTCTTTTAATAAGACAAAAGGAAGTTCTCGAATTCTTGAAGGTGCTTTTCTTTCTTGATATTTTTCTATGACATTTACTGCTGCTTGAAATCAGATATTTGTATAACAATATGTAGGGCAGGGGGGTTGGTACAAGAATATGTAGAGCTTAGTGGTATTTCAGGTTTAATCATGCTTTGTGTCATTTTCATAGTTAAATAGACTGCATTTGTAGTTTTAGATATTATTCCTCAGGTAGATGCTCAGTATCATTCAGCATCATTTGGAGTGAATTATTGTTTGATATATTAACCTCCAAGGCCACAGTCTCGGTAAGTTCTAACAACAGTTGGTAGGATACTTGGATGTTATGTTGGGAATTGGTATGCCCAACATTGATGTTTAAGAATCTTGTTTACAGATGAAGTTTTTTTTGTTGCAACAACCATTCTGGCTTTCTTTTCCCTTTCACTTTTTAACCTAAAAAATTAGGTTATATTATGAGAGTGCTTTTGTCTACCCTTTATCTCTTTGTAGCCAACTTTTCCCCACGTTTCTTAATAAATTTTTTTTCCTTCTAAAAACAGGAGAAACAATCCCAGATTTGTCAGAGTTGAAATTTGAGGCAAGGTCATCAAAAGATGGGGCGTGGTAAGGAAACAAACATGTAGCAACCAAAAATTGTGAACCTTGCTTTTAAATGTTTTGGTTTTACCTTGTTGGACATATCTCCATTTTGTGGATAAAAAACGTTATCACACTCAACACTGTTTGATATTTGGGCCATTAATAAAATGTAAGCTGCCCCAGAACTATCAAAATTCTCATTACCTAGGCCTACAATGGAGATGGATTAGTGGAAGAGGCCCCTTAAAGAATAGATCCATACTGAGATAACCTTCACAGCATTTGTTTAGGATACTCCCTTCGTTTGATTGATGACTGCCTGGGCTTACTTAGCCTCTCTTAGTCACTAGTGGACAGAGCCTGTTGTTAATGTTTCTCTCTGAACCATCACGCTTAGAGGTAACAGTGAGGCAAGCAAACTTAGCCTGATCCATGTAGCTTCACTTCCTGTTTGAACTATTAGTTTTCTTATGAATATAAACTTAAGGATAATGCTACTTTCTCCTAATAAATTTTCCTAGAAAAAATGAGAAGTAAATAAAAAATCACAGGCTGTTTATGTGTCTGTATGAGAATATTCTTGATAGGCTTGCCAGTTTGAGTAAGAAGTGCATGGTCACCTTGATACTTATTTCAGAATGGTAGCTGCTAACTTTGTCACCTGATGGGATGTCCAAGGTTAATGCCTAACTATCTTTTCTTCCTTTAGGTATGATGTTGACATGTTCCTCTCTCACAGAATTCTTGCATCTGGGGATGCTGTAAGCTTCTATTTCATAATCTATTACTTCAAGCATTTTAGTTGTAGCTGGTTTGTCCTGAATAATGTTGAGCTAGTATACACGTCCAAAGTTGTAGAACCTCAGTGCAGGGCATGATATTGAAAACAAAAACTGAATTTTCGGTGTCATCCAAAGAAGTATAATTGATAATGAGGTCATCCATATGGAATAAAATCTGATTAGTTGGGACTGAAACTTCTTCAAGTTAGGTCTATACTCAAATTAGAAATGGGAACATACTAAAAGAGTCAATCATCGTGATTTTTGTAAATACATCTTTCATGAAGTTTTTTCATTTATTAAAGGAAGTTCGTGTTAGATTTGTTGGATTTGGGGCTGAGGAGGATGAGTGGGTCAATGTAAAAAATGCAGTGCGAGAACGTTCAATTCCTCTTGAGCATTCAGAATGCCACAAATTGAAGGTCGGAGATTTAGTGTGCTGCTTTCAGGTATTTTAGGTTTTTAGTTGCAGCAGTAATCCTTTCACTCCCTGCAAATCACCCCTACTTTCTACAGGTAGCTTACTTGTGCAGTTTGAATTTTATTAGGAAAGAAGGGACCAGGCACAATACTTTGACGCCCACATTGTCGACATTCAAAGGAAAACGCATGACATTAGAGGTTGCCGGTGCCTTTTCTTGGTTCGATATGATCATGACAACACTGAGGCTAGTATCAATTACATGTCCATAGCATGCTGATTTCTCAGTTACACGTAATACTGGAATTACCTCGCTAAATTGTCATCTCTTTTGGCAGGAAAGAGTCCGTTTGAGGAGGTTATGTTGCAGGCCGGCATAATAGATCTTCTGTGATAATCTCATTTTTCAGCTCACTTCTTTTTGTCCTTAATTCATATCAAGGCTTGGTAGGGAGGGTGCTAAATCCATGAATATACATTATAAATGTCTCGGGAAAGCTCAAGTCAGATTGATTGCTCTAACCCAGCCCGTTTCTGACAATACAATTTAACCGCTGTATTCATTTCTAAAGCTTTCCTCGTTCAATTTCACCCAAATTCTCCTGCAGAAATTAAAGAAATGCTTGGATCATCACGAGCTTTACTGACTGCTTATTGTGCAAACCAAAAAATTAACGATAATAATAATTATGAAATTAGGAAGATAGATAAAGGAGAAAAATCCTGAAAGTGCACACCGACTGATTATTTAGCGGTGCTTTGTTACACAAGAAAGAAGAGGGGCACGCATAATGCCCCATTAAGCTACAAGCTCAGTAGCGCCGAGGCTCAGTCTGCTATGGTTACAGGACTTCTTTTAGCTAACCCTAACTTTAGGTTGCTTTTTTAATTATTTTCTTAATTGTTTCAAGTAGACGCCATTGCACGCTACCCCAAGAAACGGCCATCTTTCTTCATTTGTGTCCATCACGAAGATTTATGTCTCTAGTTTTTTTTTTTTTTTTTTTTTTTTTTTTTTTTTTTTTTTTTTTTTTTATTCAGCAAGACAACGCCTAAATTATGCCGCTCCAGCCTGCATTTAGGTAGTAACAGAGAGCATAGCATGCATCGGCATAAAAATGAGAAATGGTTGGTGTGTGGTCGCATGCCACAAGGACCAGCATTTCACAACACGTCTATTCCAAAGAAAAATGTGGATAGAAGCAAGCAAAAACACGTCAATCAATTGAATATAAAACACGAGCATGTCACAAATGAATGGCGTAACAATAGACGATTTCCCAACAGTGCATCCAGCATATTCATGTAAGAATTTAACACTTCCCAACATTGCAGCATCCAGCATCCAAAGTGTCCTATCGCACCGGGAAGATTCTGGTTAATCTTGGCACCCATGCAGCAACCTCACGTATTTGCCATCGACAGTACCGAGCAATCAACTACTTGTACGCCTGAGCTAGAGTGCAAGCAAGAATGTGTGAATTTCAGTAGTCTAAACAGAGCTATCAGCAAATGCGCACCAATTTCAGATACTGCTCAGGTGTTTATGCATTCTGATAGCAGTTGCTTTTTAAACAGGTAATGCAGGAAGGACTATAAATAAAATCAAAATTATTTTCTCAATATACTATGAAACCAGCAGTTGCTGTATATGGAGTTATTATTATCCGGAAAGGATTAATAATCTAGCCCATCCAGTCCCAACATGCCTGAGTCGGTTTATTGGAGATCTCTTTTCCCCCTTCCATTTCTTGAATGCAAGCAAGAACTGGAGATTTTAATTATTAGCTTGTATTTGTCATCATGTTTTTGTAGCAATCAAAGGGATCGAAAGTTACTTTATCAAATCAGCTGTGTAAATAATTCAGCGTAACAGATCGCTTCAAGATACAACTCAAATTCTCAAACAATCCAAATGTAAGGTGGTTTGCATGACAATCATTTCTGGAGACATAGAAGGTCCATAATGGAATTTACGACACTGACAGTGCAGATCATAGAAGTATAATTAAGAATGTGCTCAGTGAAGCGCCAGCAGAAATGGCAGTCATCACAAGAATAATGAAAACATAAAAATGTTAGCACTTTGATGAAAGCAAATTATGGAAAAGCTAAAAGGGCTGCTTACTGATGCATGAAGAAAACTCGCTTTTCAGTAGAGATATCAAGATGCAGCACATTATAGCATTCAGCAACCATATCAGACACAGAACAAGTATCCATTCAGTCTGTACGCCCTGCCAATAAAACAGGATGTGCCTCATTCTTGATTTGATCTATGTATGATAAATAAAATACCAAGGAAAAAAGGGAAATTGTAGAGACGTTACCAGTTCATATTCCATACATCCCTGGTTCTTATGTACAGAAGTGGTTCCTGAAAATAGAAGTAATTCAGCCAATCCAAATGAGATAATGAACCAGCTGTGAGCAAAGAAATAAAAAGCAGCACCCACATACCAAGTCTGAAGAATTTCTCTATTTCAGGATCCCAGGACCCCCCAAGCAAAAGGACAATTGATCTTTCGGCACCACGAATCCTAGCTGAAAAAAGGAGCCCAAGCTGCTTTCTGCTTTGAAGAATTTGACCACAAATACTCACAATTTAGTGTAGGATTCCTGTTACTACCCCAAAGTCTAGGTACCTCCATTGTCAAGTTACATAAACAAAAATAGACAAATAATTGGTGGATGACAACCACTCTGATACACGGATGACAACTTCTAAAATCTGGATGACTGCAACTAACCTGACAGAAAATTCACATGCACCACCTCAAGGATAAATATTTCACTAAGAAATCAAATACCCAGACCTGAACATAGACATACTTCCCAAAAATTTAATGGTATCAGCTCCATACTCTGCCAAACCAAAGTTATGGAAGCCACTTGGATAATTTTTCAAGATAAACAAGAATGTTCTTCAGGATAAGAAAAATCAGTTGAGTTTTAATGTTTGCTCAGCCAACAGCACTGAAACACAGCCAGACAAATAATGCAGCACATGCATTAAGTTGATCTTAAGAGGTACAAATATGCATTAAGGTTACAGTGATAATTAGAAAAAAGTACGGACTGTTGTTTAAAAGTATACAAAAGAAGTACATCCTCTGTCTCTTAGGTCATGCAGACATCCAGGAAGTACGGAAGTGAAAGATCACAAGGATCTTCAAGTCTAGAAAAGATGGAAGAAGCATAAGACAAGAACAGACTTGATGACTGAGAATGATCAAAAGCCTATTGCAAAATCACGATAGCACGCTCTCAAAAATACCATCAGTAATGAAAATATCACCTGTGCACATTTCTTCAACTACTGTTCATAACTATACAAACTTCTTAGCAGTGGGTAAATCAGCGCCATCCTAAAGGCATTTCAACCCAGTTGAAAGATAACGCACAGGTATTAATGGATGCTAAGTCATGGCTACATTACAGTGGAGTTTTGCATACATAGACTCACAAATCCCATGATGAGTCAATTTGGCTTAAGCAGATCTTTGCTTCTCAAAACAAAGGTTATAAGTGGTAAGAATTGTCTTCTAAATTGTCATGATAGCAGTAGCAGCATCCCAGCAAAACTTCAGTCATTCATGAGACAGTTCGACCATAGCAAACTGATGCAATATAGAGATTCTTGGCCCATTTCTCCTGAAAAAACATATATATGAAGTGAATCAAACATACAGAATTTATGGTTAGAATCAAACAAAAATCAAGACATTGAAAACTAGAAGAAAATCCACAAACTTTGACATGTGTACTGGGAAAAGCAGAAGTTCGAAGTGTTTCTTGAGTTTCATCTGCTAGTTTTCTTCTTGGTACACTGAGAACAAAAGCGGCTTGGTCCCATGTAGCTGCAGTTGAAGTGATGCGATAACCACCATCCCACCTACGATGAATGCCTTCACTGGGATATAGAAAATCTAGCTCCACAACCTAAAATTGGAAGAACAGAAAATTTTAAGTTAAGAAACTTAATTGCTGGCCCCATAAGCATTTCATTGGGCAGAGATTTACAAAAGGAACCTGGTCTGAAAATCCCGCACCACGAGACATAACTATTGCCCATCTACTTCCAGCAGTGGCCATGGCTGTGACATAAAAACCCTCCCTCCATTTCTTATTTATCCACTTGAAGGGAAATGAATCACTTACTTTATAAGACTGCTGTAAATACTGGGTCCCTGAATTTAATAAAGCAACAAAAATTCAACAGATGACATAAGAAAATTGTAGAATGACCACTTACGAAGGAGATATGACACTAACCCTTAGACATCACAACTAATGAGCTTCCATTATTTGCTCCTGCAATTGCACTGATGTAGTAATTCTTCTCCCATTGTTCCATTATCCATTCCTTTATAAAAACCATAAAGGAATATAACATGCAAGAGTTAGCATTTAAAAGGTATATAAACTTCAACATCAAAATACAAGATAATATGCAAAAAACAAGTTACAAATGGCGATGTTCATATTGAAGACCCATGATAGATACTCATCCTTAGATTCATGGATCAAAACCAACCTTGTGGAGAAAATGAGGAGAGACCTCATAAACTTGTGCACTGAAATTAGTGCCGGCATCCATAATTAGGGCCCATAGGTTTGTGCAAGAAGCCACACTGCTGATAAATAACCCATCTTCGTTACCCTTCTCTATGTGCTGGGAGAGCCTCACATCAGCCACGTTATAGTGATATCTACACCAGGAAATGAAAACATCAGCATTTTATCCTTGATCACAAAAATTCAAAGAGCACAGTATGTAAGTCTTGTGTGCATACCTTTGTTTCATTGGCCGACGAGCATTATAAACACTAATCCACTGTGTTGCAGGCATCCCTATTCTGACCTTTTTCTTTGGTTGTTCATCTTCTTCTTCCTCCATTGTCAACCGGCCTCTCTTGTGCCCAACCTGATATATAAGCTTCACAGAACAAAATATCAGGTTAACACAACCTCCACTAAGTGGGACAACAAAGTATTTGTCTAAGTGATCAAAACCATCAATCATATCTAGATTAAGAAAACAATATAGGTACCTTCTGCGCACCATCAGTGTTAATTGGCCTAATGTCTGGGTTTGGACCAACAATTCCATCAAAAAGAGAGATATATTTTGCATAATTTGGTTCCTCATCAAACTTCAAGTTTACAACATACTCAACAAACTGTCTAAAAGGCTGAGGACAGAAGCAACACAAACTTTCTGGTGAAGTTGCCATTTTCTTCTTGCAAACAAGGAACCCTTTATTTTCCCCCTAAAGAAATCACCATGTTAGAGAGAAATTGAAACTGATCATATCAGCACGCACAGATTAGATTTAAGAATCTGCAAACCTGATACCCTTGCCAAGGCAGTCGACCGCGGAGAAGAAAGATGAGAGTGTAGGCAAGAGATTCTAAGTCATCTCTCCTGCTACCAGTTCTACCAAGATGAGCATGAACACTGGCATATCGAACAGTTCCCCTGCAGCACAGAACCAGTGAGTTGCAATGGACAGAAAAAGATATAGGATCTCCAAAGGTAATGCTAAGCTGGCATATGTTCCAGTTATCACACATTCATTTTACCTAAAAACATCTGGGCGTTGATCATATTCAACATGAAGACCAGTTGAGCTATCTCTCCACCGGGTTGCTGTAAGGAAACAGGCAACAACAGGAATAAACATTAGGCACCCATCGTCCCTAATGAAAGTTTCAGGTGCCACATTAACTGGCAAATTCAACAGCTTACCTAATCCAAGGTCAACAAGGAAAAGCTTTTTTTCTTCAGGAGTTCCTGGTGGGCCAAGTAAAAAGTTTTCGGGTTTTACATCCCCATGGACATACCTGCCAGAATACAAGCAACTATATCATGAAAAAATCCTTCTAATGAGAAAACAATGGTAGCGCAATGGCGGTGCTATTTGGGAGTTTCTCATTACAACTGATTCACCCAATCTGCTTGGCTGCAATGTTGTTCTAAACATAATAAGTTCGATTGCAAGGGAGCAGAAAATTGCATTTCCACTTTATCACACTCATCCCCAATGGAAACAAGTAAATGACACAAGATGGTTACTTGTTGCTGATTACACAAAAATTAAAAAGCCATATTAGGCTAAACATGGAGACCAATAAGGCCCACATGCCCTTCTAGGACCAACTAAGAAGACAGCTTAAACATCAATCGCGTCAATCTAAAAATCCATTCATCAGATCACCAAAAGTAGTCTATTCTTAACAAAAAGGAGATTACATACATATAAGAACAAAATTATCAGCAGAATCACTATTAAGAAGTCTCACCCCCTAGAGTGCATCTTTTCAAGTATAGAGATGGCTTCAATGGCAATGCAAGCAACCATTTCAATGGACATCCTGAAATTGCAAAGATAAAGTAAAATCAAATATATTCAAAATGCTTGATCTAATGGTGTTAACTAAGAGAAAACTACCAAGAGAACAATACTCACGTGTGAGAATTGTTATTCCAAACATCCCATAAACTAGGTCCAAGCATATCCATAACCTAGAAAAGGTACAGCATTTTCTTAAACACTCCTCTAAAAAAAATTGCCTGGAGGCTGAAATGTAAGTCTTACCACCCGAAAGATCAAAAGGAGGACACAAAACAAACAACACATACCATAACATAGTAGTCACCCTGCCTCCCTTTGTAATGAGCTCGTGGCACTCCATGACTGCCTCCAAGTGCACTGTACACACAGAAGATATAAACAAAGTCATAACCCCCAATATATATTCCCTCCCTAACAATGCAATGCACAGAATAAAAACCACCAACATAACAAGCAGCACTAGGAACCTCACTTGTAAACTTGCCACTCATAAGGCGGTCCATAATTACATCCTTTGCTGCTTCTATGCTCAAATTTTAATGCTACCTACAATTTACACACGAACCCATTACAATCATAAAATCCAGCACATTTGGTCGAGCAGCTATATAATAGATACAAGAATCATATACCTCTAAAGCTCCAGGGCCACCTCTTTCATTTGCAAAATTTGTGGGACCAATTCGTCGACCAACATACACTTGTCCAAAACCTCCTTTTCCCAGTTTCCTTTCTATTTTGTACATTGGAGAGCCACCAACTTGGACCTGTTGTAAAAAAATAAAAAATAATAAGACAAGTTTCCTTTACAAATAATCACAATACCATTACCCATTTAAATCTAAGCAAAATTAACAAACGAGTTGATTAAGTGACACAAAAACAAAAGGAATCTTAACAACAAATCACATGTTTTACTGATTTTGTTGGTTTCACTTCCTGCAATTAACTAAAAATAGCTTCAAACTGAAAGACATTGCAATAAAAAAGTAAAATTGCTCAAATATCATACACTTAATTTCACATGAATTAAGCCGATTCCATGCAAAACACAACGCAAAAAAGCTCTCACACTTTCCCACATTTTCTCTCCATCCAAACCCAATCTCTCCAAAAAAAATAAACCAAAACAAAAACTCACCTTCTCAGGAAGAGGAGCAGTGCTTCCTTCATCATCCGCTCCCGGTCCCTTGTCGGCGCTCCGGCCTCCTCCGCTGTCGTGTTCATCCATCTTCTTCTCAGCAACCTCCTCTTCTCCTCTCAAGACCCTAGCCCCCTCGTCCAGAAGCTCCTTTCTAAACGGCGTCGTATCAGATAATCTCACAATGTTCTTTTTGTCATCAACGATCGCGTTCTTTTTTCTGTTGTTATTAACCTCCGCGGTTCTTCTTTTACGAGTCTGTACAGTGAGCTTAATCGGATTCGGATTCTGATTGTTATTCTGAGCCCGATTTCTGCGTGTTCGGCTACGCAGCTCAGGCATCGTATGGACGGCAGTGGTGGTTGTGGTCCATGAAGGTGGTGGTGGGTGGATTCATGAAGGTTCTAGAATCATTCGATAGAAAGAAGGTAGGTTGAGAGAGAAGGTATGAGACGAGGGTTTGATGAGGAATTATTTTTGGAGATCTGTTGAGGGAAATGGAAAGAGAAGGATTCTTTGAACAGAGGGAGAGGGAGAGACAGGGAGATGAAGAGATTGTGATGTGTGTGTTTAATGTGAGATAGAGAAGCTACGCTTTGGTTTTTATTTTTTTGGATTTTTGTTTTTTATTTTGGGAAATCCTTTTTTTTTTTTTTTGAGGGAGTATTATGATATATTTATTACCATGTAAGGCGTCACCTGAGGGGGAATGGGATTTTAAAATCGAATTTGCCGGTGGAGTTTAGCCTTTTTGTTATGAAACTCAACCTGCATATTAATTTGGTTTTTGGCCCATTATGGCCTGTTTTTTAAAAAAAAATATTTTAAAATTTTTATTTATTTTAAATTAATATATTTTTAATATTTTTAAATTATTTTAATATACTGATATTAAAAATAATTTTTAAAAAATAAAAAAATTATTATTATATATTTTAATATAAAAAATTATTTCAAAAACAATTACAACTATATTGCCAAACAAATTCTTAAAACTTGATTTATTTTAGATTTTTTATCAAAATAATTTTAATTAATAAAACTTATGTTGATCTATTAATACATGAATGGAATATAAGATTAAATTTAAATAAATGTTAAGGTAAAAATAATCTTTAAAATCCCTTATGTTTTATATAGATATTATTTGATTATTTTAATTCATTTTTTTAATAAAAAAGTATTAAAGATTTTCATAATTAAAATACTTTTAATTATTTTACACGTATTTAAAAAAGTAAAGTTTTATTACATGATTTCTAAAAAAAGGTAAAGGTAAATATTGAAAAGGTTAAAATTTAACAACGACGTTGGTAATAATTTAGTGATCGATGTCATATCAAGTTGAGAAATTATTGAACTTTGTATTCTTTTCACATTAAAATTGAGTCGAATAAAATAATTATTTTTATTTCATAAAACGTTATTTTTCTGATAAGTTTTTTATTTTAAACAATTTTAAAATGCAATATTATTTCCAAAATCTAAATTCAAAAAATAAAAAAATATATAACAAACTTTCTTTATTGTAAACAATTTTTTAAAATTACAAGCTAATGTGTATTTTTATATCCAATTATAATTGGTGCATGGGTTTTGCTTAAAATTTATTTGTTTTTATGTTTTAAAAATATTTTTAAAAAATATAAAAAGTTATTTTAAATTATTATTTATTTTTTTATATTTTTTATTATTTTTATATGCTGATATTAAAAATAATTTTTAAAAATAAAAAATATGATTTTAATATATTTTTAAATGAAAAATATTTTAAAAACCAATATAAATTAAATGAAGTTTTGCTATAAAATATCAACTTGGTATTTTTTAAAAAGCATGTTTAGGAATAAGATATAAACTATATTTTTAAAAAATTTAATTTTTTTATTTAAAATAAAAAATTATGTTTTTAGATTAATTTGATATAAAATTAATTTTTTTAAATAAAAAATATTTTAAATTGCCATCATTACTATAATTCTGTACAAACCCTAATTACGAAGGAAGTCTTCCATACTCTTATACCGTACTGCTCCAATTTTTGTATTAAAAGATTCCATATTACCCAAAAGCAACACATTCTCAGTATTCATTAAGAATTGAGCAAAGGATTGTACGATTTATTTAATTTTTCAAAACTCAATTTTAAATGTAGCGTACTATTATAATTGGTATATGTATTAAATATTACTAAAAAATTATTGGTGTTCGCAAACAGCATATAGATGGCTCTCACCTTTCACATGATAATTTAATGTGTGTATGAAAAGGATCGTTGGTGTGACGTTGAAAATTATTTATTTTTTTATTCTTGTTTTTTATTTTTTATCTTGAATTTTATGTTATGTTAGCCGTACAAAATTTTAAAGCAATTCTTTTAATTTTTCTCTTTTTAGATTTGATATTTATCCTTTTAATTACTAGTTTTTTATTTTAGAATATAATATAAAATTACAAATAATTTTCAATCTCATTATATATTATTTTTTAATCTATAAATAATCTATCAAATTATAAATATTTTTTAATTTCACCTTCTTGATTTTTTTAATTGTTCACAATTTATTCTTATTTTTTTAATTATTATTTATTTTATTTGGTATCATTTTAAAATATTCTTTTTCAAATTTCATCCTCCTTGAGTTTTTTCTATCAAATTTTATATTCAAGTTTTTTACTTTTGTAATTTTTTTATTAATATCTTTTCATCTATTTCATCATTAAAAATTAGATTGTTTAAGAATTAAGTTTCTTAATTGTATTCAAATTCAATATTTCACAAGTTACTATTTTTAGAAATTAATCTAATTTTAAGAAGTTTCGTCCTGATTTACTTTAATTTTTTTAATTGTTATTTATTTTATTTGAGATCATTTTAAAATATTATTTTTCAAATTTTATCCTTGTTTTTTTTTGTTTTTTTTTTTTGCTTTTGCAAGTTTTTTTTAATATATTTTCACTGATTTTTTTCTTCTAAATTAAATTGAATGAGAATTAAATTTTTTAATTGGATTCAAATCCAATATTTCACAGGTTATGACTTTTAAGATTAAACCAAATTTAAGACGTTTGTCCAGATTTTCTTGATTTTTTTAATTGCTATTTGTGTTATTTAGGATTATTTTAAAATATTATTTTTCAAAATTCATCGTTCTTGAGTGTTTTTTTATTAAATTTTATTCTCGTTATTTTTTTGTTTTTTTTGTAAGTTTTTTTTTATCAATATCTTTTTATAGATTTTATCTTTTAAAATTAAATTTATTAAAAATTAAATTTTTTAATTAAATTTGAATCCTGTGTTTTAAATATTAAACTCAATACAAGAAGTTTGTCCTAATTCATTTGTTTTTTTCAATTGCCATTTATTTTATATTAGATCATTTTAAAATATTATTTTTCAAACTTCATCCTATCAAATTTTATCAATTTTTTCTTTGTTTTGATTTTTCAAGTTGTTTTTATTAATATATTTTCACTAATTTTATCATTCAAAAATAAATTGATTGAGAATTAATTTTTTTAATTGAATTTAAATTCAACATTTCACATGTTGTGACTTTCAGAAATTAAACTAAGTTTATGAAGTTTATCCAGATTTATTTGATTTTTTTCTCTCATATTTTTTTTATTTTTAAGCTTATATTTTCTTATTTCTTATCCATTTTTTGTTATTTTTTTGTGGTTTGCCTTTCATTAAGTTAGTCTCCTATATTTTTTTTAATTTCACCCATTGTAATTTTTTAATTCATAGATAATTTATCAAATTATAAATGTTTTTTTTTTTAATTTTACTACTTATGATTTGTTTTTAATATTTCAAATTTGATCTTTATTCTTTTAATTTCTATTTATTTTATTTAAGATCATTTTTAAAATTGTTATTTTTCTAATTTCATCCTACTTGGATTTTTTTCTATTAAGTTTTATTCATGTTCTTTTTGTTGCTTTTTTTCTTTTGTGAGTTTTGTATTAATATTTTTTCACCAATTTTATTCTTTAAAATAAAATTAAATAAGAATTAAACTTTTTAATTGAATTCGGGTCCAAGATTTCATAGGTTATGGCTTTTAGAGATTAGACCAGGTTTGGAAAGTTCACTCAGATTTATCTGGTTTTTTTCTTTAATTTTTTATTTTTAAGCTAATATTTTTTTATCCCTTTTTTGTTTTGTTATTTTTTTGTTGTTTTCCTTTTGTTGGGTTAGCCCCCTAAAATTTATTTAATTTTAAAATGTTGTTCGTGTTCTTTTGATTGCTATTTATTTTATTTGGGATTATTTTTTAAAAATAAAACTCAAATTTCATCCTTCCTTGATTATTTTTTAAAAATAAAACTCAAATTTCTTCCTTCCTTGTTTTTTTTGTCAAATTTTATTCTTATTTTTTTGTTGATTTTTTTTCTTTTACTATTTTTTTTTATTTTTTCTCATGATTTCATACTTCAAAATTAAATTTATTGAGAGTTAAGCTTTTTGATTAATCTCAGGTCTAGGATTTCACAAGTTACAGGTTTTAGATATTAAATTAAGTTTAGGAGAATCGTCCGAATTTGTTTGGGATTTTTTCCCTTTTTTAAGTTAATGTTAACTTATTTTTCAACCTGTTTTGGTTTTTTTAATTATTTTTTGCAGTTTGATTTTATTGGGTTAGCTCTCTACAATATTTTTTATTATTGCACCCCTTATAATTTTTTAATCTATAAATAATTTATTAAACTACAAATGTTTTTGAATTTCACCCGTTATGATTTTTAAATATTTCAAATTTGGTCCTTATTTTTTAAAATTTTATTTATTTTATTTCACATCATTTTAATTATTTTTTCAAATTTCATCCTCTTTGAGTTTTTTGTGTCAAAGTTTATCCTCATTCTTTTTATTGCTAGTGTTTTTTCTTTTACAAGTTTTTTTCTTAATATTTTTTCAAGATTTTATAATTTAATATTGGGTTGATTAGGAATTAGGTTTCATGATTTGTTTTATTTTCTTTCTATTACCTTATTCTAGCCTCGTAACTCAAAAATAATGCTCAATAGGTTAATTCAAGTTGTAATGATAAAATCGCTCCTTAGCCATTAAACCTTTAAACAAGGCATAAGGGTAAGAAGGTCTTTTCATAATGACACACACAATTATTATTTTTAAAATTATATGATATTAGATCGGTAATTTTTTCTTTTTTGTACAATAAAATAACTAATTTAATCATGGACATTTTTATTTTTTAAACTTTTTTAGAATGATGTAATTACTTTAATGCCCTTAAAGAAAAAATGAACATAACTCTCACGTGATGACTTTTTTGGTATTTTACATTGGTTTTATTGTAAATTCCAATGGTATTCAGGGGTATTATTGTAAATTATATTTATTAAATAAAATAAAAAAAGTTATTATCTCGTGTGAGCACGCGCAAGGGTATAGACAACTCTCGAGCTGTTGAAGCAGCACACACAAGACCTTCCGACTACCAAACACCACCTTTCATGGTAGCCTTTGAAAGGACTTGGCGCCCTCAACGTAATAGGGAGGCGCATGCCCCTAACAATTATTGGGTTTGACACTAGCGATCATTTCTCTCTCTCTCTGTTATTTTTTATCTCTCCCCAC